GGCATTTTTCAATACACATGAAATAATATATCTCTATTTGGTTTCTCACACCATCTATACTATATTTATTTCTCTTTACTCTCTCTCCCCTTGCCTCTGCCATCTTATCCTCCCTCCCAAGTTAGAGCAACTCACCAGCTTCCCCATTTCCCTCTTGATAATGCCTGTGACCTACTAGCCCTCTCTTTCAAGAGCCTTCTTCCCCTCTCCTTCTATAATTCCTTTCTGCTCCCCTGACTCTTGTTCTTCCTTTGGCATATAGACTCACATCTAATGATTTGGAGCCAGCATCCACAAATGAGAAAGAACATGGATCACTTGTTTTTCTGAGTTTGGGTTCACTCAGTATAACAGTTCCTATTTCCAGACATTTGCCTGCAAATTTATAATGTCATTTTTTTTGTTGCTGAACAAGACTCCTGTGTATCTTCCACGTTTTCATTATCTAGTCTCTAGTCATTGGTTAAGGGACACTTAGGTTGATTCCATTTCCCAGCTATTGGGAAAAGAGCAGCAATAAACATAGCTGAGCTTGTACCTCTGTAGCAGGAGATCAAGTCCTTGGGTATATGCCAAGAAGTGGTAGAACTGGGTCACATGGTAAATATATTTTCAGTTTCTTGAGAATTCCCCACTGATTTCCATAGTGGATGCACTCGTTTGCAGTCTTACCAGAAGTGAATGAGGGTTCTTCTTTTCCCACGTGCTTGCCAGCACTTAGTATCATTTGTGTAGGTGACAAAGATTCTCTCCCACTTTGTTGCTTCCTCTTCACTCAACTGATTGTTTCCTTTGTTGTACAGGAGGATTTTTGTTTAATGAAGTTCCATTTGTCAATTGTTGGTTCTGATTTCTGATCAAACAAAGTCTGATTTGAAAGTCCGTTCCTGCAGGCATATCTTGTAGGGTACTACATATTTTTTCTAACTGTTGCAGCATTTCGGGTTTTTCATTGAGGTCTCTCATCCATTTGGAGCTGATTTTTGTGCAGGGTGGTAGATATGGGTCTAATTTCATGGTTTTACATGTGGAGATCCAGTTTTCCCAGCACCGTTTGTTGAAGATACTGCTTTTATTCTGGCTGCTTTGGCATCACTGTCAAGTATCAGGTGGCTGTAGATGTGCTCTCATGTCTGGCTCTTCTATTTTATTCCATTGATCCGCATGTCTGTTTCTGAGCCTGCATCATGCTGCTTTTAGGTTGAGAGCTCTGTAATATGGTTTGAAATCTTCTGTGCTAATTCCTTGAGAATTGTTCTTCTTGTTCAGGGTTGCTTTGGCTCTCTGGGGTCTTTTATGCTTCCGTATGAATTTTTGGATATTCATTTCTACCAGGCACTGAATAAATGGAACTTGAGATGTATGTAATAGATTTTGAATAAATTTTCTAAACAGCTGAGTGGAGAATACACACTGAATGATTATTTCATGGTATTGTGAAAATCTTTTATCAACAGAATGCTGAAACATTAGCTTTGGGGCAAGAGACTGAAATTTAGAGAACTGATATTCTGTTCTTTAGATTATATGAGGGATTATGACATATAATTTCATTTACTGTTTTTTTCAGACAATGAAAGTTTTATAGTGTTTCTGATGTCTTAAAAATAGTATGGCAGAGTGTGTAGCGTTTGTGGGAGGAGGCATAGATGAGGGAGGAGGACTGGATGTGAGTGGGAAATATTGTATGAAATTTTAAAAGCTCAATTAAAAAATAGCATGGAAGTTTGAAGAAAGTGTCACTTCCATCCATCTTCTTGGTTTAATGAAGGACTCTGAATCAAATTTGCTCCAATTAATACTATCAAATTTAAAATCTTCGTTAATCACCAGTCTCCTATTAGCTGCCTTGTGGTTATTATCATAATTCCTCCAAGGACAAACTCTCTCATGGTTACTTCAACAAATAATTTCATCCCAGGGAAACCTAAGGTAATGATACAATTTTATGTGATATGTCTCTAACTTGCAGCACAGGGTGGAAAATTACAGAAGGGCCCTTTCTCTTATTTTTTAAATTAAAACGCACACTGAATTCTCAAGACTACTAAAGAATACACATCCATATATCTATCTTAACAGGCTCCAAGATGAAAACTCCTTTCTCTCACAATGGATCTTCCAGACTTTCAGAGATTCCATCTACCTCACTTTACTTTGTGACATCGAAAGAGAAATGGAAGAAACTTTGCCTGGCTTTCAGCTGAAGATATTTATCCTTATCATCTTTGGAGCTATATTAGGAACAGAGTAGAATTTGCATTCCATATAGTTGTATATTTTTGTATGTCTGTATGTGTGTGTCCAGTGGATTCTAATTACCTCCAGTATCTACCCTTTTTCATACCATAGTATGACAGACAGATCCATGTGGAATAGTTATCTTCCATATGTATCCATAATTACACAGGAAATAACTTATCCCTAAACAATCTGATTCTATGGACAATTTTGAGAGGATGAGGACAGACATTCTACTTTTGATTATCATTAATTTCTATTGTTGCTTTGTATTTCCTTCAAAATTTATGACAAATATCTGCAATTTTACTAATCTGTTTTGTCGCAACCCACAATCCAGGTAAAAACCTGGAATAATTTTGTACTTAAGTTGCTGTATAACCTCCTTTTCAAATTCCATCAGTTGCTCCTGACTTGATATAAAATTCTTTCTTTCTCAACTGTATCTCTTCTGCAAATCCAGCAAAAGACAGGAAGGGCATGATGACAGATAATCAGAGCTTCCCATCTGAGTTCATCCTCCTGGGGATCCCCATCCAGCCAGAGCATCAGAGCATCTTCTTCACCCTGTTCCTGGCCATGTACCTGACCACAGTGCTGGGGAACCTGCTCATCATCCTGCTCATCAGGCTGGACTCTCGCCTCCACACCCCCATGTACTTCTTCATCAGCCACTTGGCCTTCACAGACATCTTTCTCATTAGTCACAGCTCCAAAGATGCTCATGAACATGCTGACACAGGAGCCACTCCATCTCATATACTGGGTGTGTTTCCCAGATATATTTTTTCTTATTTTTTTGAGGCATTGAAAGCTTCCTTCTTACTGCAATGGCCTATGACAGGTATGTGGCCATCTGCCACCCTCTGCACTACACCACCATCAAGAGTCAGAATCTCTGTTTCCTGCTAGTCATTGTGTCTTGGATTTTGTCCTCTTATGATGTCCTTGTGAACACCCTACTCCTGGCTTGTATCCATCAATTTAAATACATCACTCCCCACCACTTCTGTGACCTCTCTGCCTTGCTTAAGCTGTGCAGCTCTGACACCACCATTAATAAGCTGGTTATCCTCGCTGTAGGTCCAGTGGTCATTATGTGCCTTTCATATGTGTACTGGTCTCTTATGGCCACATTGGGGCCACCATATTGAGAACTCCCTCCATCAAGGGAATCTGCAACGCCTTGTCCACATGTGGTTCTCAGCTCTCTGTGGTTTCTCTGTACTATGGAGCCATTGTTGGGCTGTATTTTTCCCTTCTCCTAATAACACTAATGACAAGGATGTTATTGTGGCTGTATTGTACACTCTTATGATACCCATGCAGAATCCCTTCATCTACAGCCTGAGGAATCGGGATATGAAAGGATCCTTGAGAAATACTCTCAGAAGATGAACATTTTCAGTATGATATATGCCATCTTCCTAGTAATCATATATGATAACTGCTTAATGCTGCATATATTTTTCTCTATGGATTGCTAGTTCTTTTTTAAGAATTATTTTGAGTTTTTGTGCATTTCATGTAATAGATCTTAATCTAATTTAGACCCCCTTCCTCCATCTGTGCCATCCATAATGCCCCCCCACTGGATTATGCATTCTGTCATATATGTTAAATTCTCTCCTGTCAAGCATTTGTACCCAGGTGTCCTTTGGTGCAAGTTCATTCACTGGAGTCTAGTCAGCCTATCTAGAGTCTCCCCCTTAAGAAGATCTACTCTCCCTCAACCTGCAGTCATCAGTTGCCAATAGTTCTTCAGCTGGGGGAACTGTTGTTTCTGAATGGATCTTTGTGAATCACTCTTCCTAAGTTTCTTTCAGCTCAGAAGCTGTTTCTGTCTCTCTTTAATTGTCAGACTGATCTTGATATGGGAAAGGTGTTTATAAACTTGCTTTCACTATTTTTGTTTTCCACATAGTGTCTTTGTCTTGGAATATTTACAAATTCTGTGTCCTCCCAGCTCTCAGTCTGCTTTAATGAGGTAGTTTGGGAACTTTTATCCAAAAATTCTCTTCCTTTTTTAAGGTAAAAATATTTCTTTTGCTAGATTCATTGATTTTTGTGTGAAATTTTGTAATATACTTCAAATTTATTTTTGAATATTTATAGTTTAACATTTAATTTTATTTTTGTTTGTTAATTTAAAAAATTTAAATTGACACATAAAAATTTTCTCTATTTTGTGGTACCAGATGATACTTTCATACATGTGTAAGTGGTATAACGTTAAAGGGAACATAATCATATCTCTTTCTTTATATACTTATATTTGTGGTGAAAATATAAAATCTATTCTTCCAAATTCTTTTGGTATGTGTCATAGATTCTCATTATCCACAGTCACCATACTATGTAAAAGGAGACCAGAAGTTGTTTTCCTTACTTGATGAAATTACAAGTGTAATAAAACTTGAGCAACTTTTCTTCATTCATTCTTCCCCTATCTTCTCCATGTTATTTTTAATTCCTTCTTCAATGTTCATTTATTTGTTTGAAATTTAATAACTAGGCATACCAAGTTTTCTTTCTCTAAAACAATAGGTCTGGCCATAAATTTCAATGTAAGACAAGGACAATGGACCATGTAGCATGGGTATGGTCCAAAGCGTGCTAACTAGAAAGTTAACTGACTCCCTGTCAGTTGAGGGCTAGTGTTTTGGGGAAGAGCAGTAAGAGTAGAGATATCTAAATGAGTTTCAGGGAGTTGTTATGCTACACGGTATCAGTCTTTCTGAAAAATGTTTTGGTCTCTTCCTGTGTGGGACATAGCACGGCTCAGCAGAAGGTCAGGAAGTCTAGACAATCTGAACTGAGGTCAAATAAGATTTTAGCACGGCTTCATCCAACTGTAATTAATTTTAAAGTGAAATAAAGGTACTTCTGCCCCCAGCTACATAAATGTTGTGTCTGTTCTCATTTTTAAGGATACATGTTTACTGAATTTTCTGCAAATTAATTTTGATTTTGTAGTTCCATTTGTCCAGAATTCCTTTTTCTATTCTTTCTCTCTAATACTGTTTTTCCCTTGTCTATGAAGTGCATTTCTTTTAGGCAACATGTAGATAGATCCTGGTTTTTAGCCAATATATTGGTGAATGTGTCTTACTGGAAAATTGAGACCATCAGTTTCGGGTTATTGCTGAAAAGTGTGTGTTAATTCTTATTTTGTTGTGATGTTTGATATTTCCTATTCCGTATTTGCTTGGGCTCATGGGTGTGCTTCTCTTTCATTAGAATGTGTAGGATTTCTTCAAGTAGCTTCTGTAGTGCTGGCTTAGTGGTAATGAATTCATCTAGTGTGTGTTTATCATGGAAAGCTTTTCTTTATATACTTATGAAAGATAATTTTGATGGATATAGTAGCTGGATTGACAGTTACTGTCTTGCAGAGTTTGAACTATGTACCAAACACTGAGGCATCCTATTTCATTTGAAGATGCATTTAGATTTAAACTACAGATTAACCACAATGTAGTGATGGTGGGAAATTTCAACACCCCATTTCAACCAAAAGAAAGTCTGTAAGTAAAAAATTAAGCAAAGAAACCTAGGAGTAAAATGACATCATAAACCAAATGGATAGAATAAGCATCTACTGAACATCCCACTTAAAGACTAAAGAATACACTTTCTTCTCAGCAGCCCATGTTTTGGAGAACTCTGGGGTTTCCTTAACCAATAAAACATAAGTCATAAGGAGGTATCTTTTGCCTGAAATTTTCATTTAATAACTCATGTCTTCTGGGAGCAGATTGTAGACCTACATTGGGTAATTCTGTTTGTACTCTTTATTTTATGTTTATATTTTAACAATTTCATACATGAGCATTGTAGTTACATCACCCACCCTGCCTTATCTCCCATCTAACTCCTCCCATGTACCCCACATTCTCATTAGACTCCATGACCTCTTCATTGATTATTGTCACACACATAAAGAGAAAGGAGAAGAGAGAGAGAGAGAGTTAGTTTACTTAATGGTGCTCAAGTGTACATGTATTTATGGTTAACCACCTGAGACTGGGTAACTACTAAACTCTTTTACAAAAACAGTTACACTAAGAAGCCAATCTAAACACATTACATACTTGTTCCTGATAGGGTAAACTGGTTCTCCCTCCCCTGCAGCCATTGATTAGCTGTAGTTCTTCATCTAGAGGTGGAAACTTGTGCAGTTTTCCCCCATCCACCCCGGCATATCAACTGTTGTCATTATGCAGGTATGTTTACACAACCTTATTATGGGGATTCCATGCTTATAGCATCAATGTCAGGTCTAGAATACATTGTCTAGCAGCAGGTGCCCTGGTCCTCTGGCTTTGACAATCTTTCTGCCTCCCCTTCTTGTGCTATGTTCCTTGAGCCTTAGGAGTAGGGGGTGTATTGTAGATCTTTTCAGCAAGGCACCATGCATTCTCTTATTTTCTATGTTTTGAGCAGTTACGGAACTTTGGTTTTGCTAAATTTGTTTTATTGTGCTTTTGTACATTTCATACAACAGTTCTTAATCAATCAAATTTAGACCTCCTCCCCAGTCCATGCCTCCTCAACCCCCCACTGAATCTCCTGCATTCCACCATACATATTAAGTCCTATCCAGTCAAGCATGTGTACCCAGGTGTTCTTCAGTGCAAATTCATCCACTAGAGCCTAGTCAGCTTATCTAGAGGTTGTAAGAAAGGTCTACTCTCCCTCACCCAGTAGTAATCAATCTCCAACAGTACCCAGACTGGGTTCACCAATCTGGCACACTGCCCATTTCCCTCACTCCACTCTGGGTCCTTATCTGATTGAGTTGGCATGGGTCTTGTGCTAGACACCACCATTGCCATAAGTTCACATGTGCAAGCTTCCAGTGGACTGAACACCTGTTTCCTTATGTTCATGGACCATTCCTGGCTCTTACAATATTTATACCCCTTTTCCACAGTGGTCCCTGAGCTGTGGGTGGGTGAGGTTTAGTATAGGATTTGTATCCAGGGACACACACTCTATAGTCTCGTATTCTCTAAAACTTGACCAGTGTGACCTTCTGTGTGCATCACATTGTGTTGTATAAGGAAGCTTCACAGGTGAGCATTGAGGAATACACTCATTTTCTCTCTACCCCCTTTTCCATTATGTTCCATGAGCCTTAAGTGTAGTGGTTGTACTGTAGATATGTCTCATAGGACTGGGCATCTCTCAGACACATATTCTCTGTGTGACCAGTTGAGTAACTCTGCAGTACTGGACCTTTGTAATAGTCTCTATCTGTTGCAGAAAGAAACTTATTTGATGAGAGTTATATTTGTCCATCAGTAAAAGGGTAAGTGTTTAGAATATAATTGGAAGCTACATTGGTTTAGGAAAATGGCAGTAGTTCATTCAACATAATAAAGGCAAAAATAATGTTGGAGGGATTACAATATTGGATTTCAAGCGATCTTATGGAGCTAGAGTATTAATAACAGCAGGTCTGGGCACAAAACAGACATTGTAGATCATTGGAGCAAAATAAAAGACCCAAACATGAATACATTATTATTATAGCCACCTGACATTTGACAAAGATGCCAAAAATGTACACTGGGGGAAAGACGGCATCTTCAACAACGGTGCTTAGAAAAGTGAGTGTCTACATGGGACAAATGAAATTAGACCCATATCAAATTACTCTGCACAAAAATCAAGTCTAAATTAATCAAAGTCCTCAGTGAGAAACTTAAAATACTGAAACTGTTAGAGAGCATAGGTCATACCCTGCAAGATATAGGTGCAGAAAAGGAATTTCTAAATTATATTCTTTTAAAAAGTTGTGTTTTGAAATTATCTTGACAACTAGCTCAGTGCAGTGAGAGATGATCTTGATTCATTTTTCTACATGTTGAAATCCAGTTGTCCATTTGTTGAAATTATTGTCTTTTTTTCCAGTGTCTTCTTGACATCTTTGTCAAAAATTAGTTTAACTGTAGTTGGCAGACTTATATCCAGGTCTTCGATTCTATTCCATTAACCTGTGCCTCGTTTTGTGTTAGTTCCATGCTGTTTTTATTAGTATAACTCTGTAGCATAATATGATATCATATATGTTGATTTCTTCCACAGCATTCTTTTGTTCATGATTGCTTGGCTACCCTTGGTCTTTTGTGCCTCCATAAATATGTTTCAACTGTTTTTTCTAAATCTGTGATTAACAGCATTGAGATTTCTATTTATATATTTATTTTTGTAAATTTTCATTGGTTTTTTTGTGTATTTCATACAGAACATCTTAATCCTCTTTATACTCCCTTCCCCCACTTCCACCCTTCCATAGCCCCCCCACTGGCTTTATACTTAGTGTTCTCAGTTGTCCATCAGTCCTCATCCACTGAGGTCCAGTCAGCCTATCTAGAGTCCCTCCCTTTAGGAAGATCAGCTCTTCCTCACCCAGAAGTAATCAGTTACATCTAGAATAAAGACCTGAGAAACAAAAGAATGAAGAAAACAAATGACCCAATTAAAAGATGTATTAAGGATGTGAATAGAGAGCTCTCAAAAGAAGAAATAAAGATGGCTAAGAAACGTCTTAAAAAGTATTCAAAATCATTATTAACTATGGAAATGCAAGTTAAAACCACTTTAAGATGTCCTCTTACCCCAGTCACACTGGCTAAGCTTAAGAAAGCAAATGATACCAAATGCTGGAGGGGATATAGGGAAAGGGGACTCTCATTCACTGTTGGTGATATAGGGAAAGGGGACTCTCATTCACTGTTTGTTGGATTGAAAACTCATGCAACCCTATGGAAAGCAGTGTGGACAATTCAAAAACCTAAAAATGAAACTGCCATATGTGCTGGTTATACCACTCCTTGGCATGAACCCAAAGGACTCGTCCTACTGCAGAGATATTTGTGCAACCATGTTGGTAACTGCTCAGTTCACAACAGCTAAGAGACAGAAGCAACCTGAGTTTTCCTCAACTGAGGAGTAGATAATGAAAATGTGGTACATTTACACAGTGGAGTTCTACTCAGAGGTAAAGAAAGAGGAAATAATGAAATTTTCAGACAAATGGATGGAACTAGAAACTGTTATACTAAGTGAAGTAACAGACTCAGAAAACCAAAAGATGTATATTCTCCCTCATTTTTGGATCCTAGCACCAAATCCTTATGTGTGAGTATATATCCTGATGTAACTGCAGGAACCAGGAAAATGGAAAGGGACCAGGGAGGTAAAGGGAAAGACGGGCAGCAGACCCCAATCTTAGCATTGAGATTTTGGTGGAGATTGCTTTGACTCTGTACATCATTTTTGATAGGGTGGTTATTTACACAATATTAATCCTTTTAATCCATGAACATCAGATGTCTTTCCATCTTCTAGTGTCTTCCACAATTTATTTCTTCAGTGTCTTGCAATTTTCATCTTAGAGCTCTTTCATTTCCTTGGTTGGGTTCATTCCCAGGACAAGAAGGTTGGAAAGGGGTGGCAGGTGAATCTGAAAGGAGTTAGGGGAAGCTGTAGGAAGTAAATACAATCAAAATGCATCTTGTACATGTATGATATTCTCAAAGAATCAATAAAATACAAATTTTAAAAGGACAGACAAACTTGTTATATTCATGGAGTGCCTTACTGCACGCCAGTATAGACTGGTAATAAGAGAAGGCACCACTGCCTATGTTTATTTTTAATCAAGTTTTCATCAGTATGTCAATGAATAGAGTGAAGACACATTGACAGACAGTGGGGCCATTAGGGTGTTTTGGAGATTCTTGAAATAATATAGGATTCTGAAGGAAGAGACTTTATCACATTCGACCACCAGTTTGGTTCAAATGACTCTTAATCAAGCTTTTTTTATTACAATATGAAAGTAAAAACTTCATGAATCACTGAGTTCTCATTAACCGCCTTGTATTTTATAATATTTTCTCCAAGGATAAGTTATTATGTCTTTCTCAACCAACAAATATATCTCTGAGGAAAACCAAGGTAATGATGCAATTGTAAGCAGTTTGCTTGTAAATTTGAACAAGGCATCAGAGATGACCCTTGGGTCCTTTCCATGGATTGTAAAAATAAGTGCACAATGATTTATCAGGACTATGAACAAATGTGTATCAATACATCTATTTTGCTGGGCTCAGGGCTAATAATTCTTCCACGTCTCAAAACTGATTGTTGATACCTTAGAGAATCCACCTGATTCACTATATTAAGTGCCTGCTAGAGAGAAAAGAAAGAATTGTCCCATGCTGAAGGTGTCTGTGCTCATCATGGTACGGGCTCTAAGATGCTGCAGTTTGCAGTTAAAGCAAGAGTAGAGTCTCTCTCCCTCTCTCTCTCTCTCTCTCTCTCTCTCTCTCTCTCTCTCTCTCTCTCTCCAGTATGTGTTACTTATCCTTTGATAATATACACATAATATCACAGCCAGATCCTGTGTTACTTATCCTTTGATAATATCCCCATAATATGACAGACAGCTCCATATACATTGGATTATTTTAGTATCTATCTAAAACTTGACAGTAAAGAGTAGTACAAACATCCCTATAGAATAACTTACCTCTAGGAGATTACATATATAATGTTATGAGGATAAGGTAGAGGTATATTTCCTCTTGCTTATTTTTGGTGCTGATTATTTAATTAATTTTTATTGAACTTTTGCAAGTATATGCTTTGATGATATTTAGATCCCTTCCCATATCTGCTTCGCTTTTTCTAACCACCTATCAGATTTCTGTACTCCAGTACACATATCTATCATTAATCTAGCTATCATCTATCTATCTATATCTATCTATCATATATATATTTATCATCTACTTATTATCTCTCTCATATATATTGTATGCCTATAGAGTAAGGTTTGTGTCCCCAAATGCCCTTCAGTGTGAGCTCATCTACTGCAGTCTAGTCAACCTACTATGAGTCTCACCCATAAACAAGACTGGATCTCCTCTTCCCAGTAGTCAACAATTGCCAGTGGTTCCTCAGGTAGGGTTGGGGTTTCTTAAATTCTTCCCGATGTCTATGCTGAGATTTTGTCTGGTTTGAGCTTACATGGGTCTTGTGCATGCTGTCACCATTGCTGCGAGTTCATATGAATAAATGACCAGCTGTCTGGAAATCTGTTTCCTTATGGTTATTCACCTCTTCTGACTCTTCTGGTATTTCTATCCTCTCTTCCATGACAATATCTGGGACTTGGAAGGCAGTTTATATAGGTGTCCTATTCAGGTTATGTACTCTGTAGAATTTAATCTATGCCTGTTGGCAAGTTGTGCTTCTCTGTGTTAATCACCATCTGCTGCATAGAGAATCATCTCTGCTGAGAGTTGAGAGATGAGCTAATCTATGCATACAAGAGTAAATCATTAGAAATAAGTTTAATGCTATATCTATAGCAGAGTAGTTGTATTAGGCTATATTCCATGGACTGTGGGTTGTCTATCCTCAGGTTCCTAGACCTGATACCGGTGTCAGTTATGGTATCCATCCTATGAAACAGAACTTACATCCAATTAGAAAGTAATTGGTTACTCTTACAATATTCATGCCACTATTGTGCCAATGGGCATATCTTCCAGGCTAGTTGTGGTCATAGCTTGCATGATTCACAGTTGTGTAAGGTTCATATTATATTTTCTGTTCAGGTTCCTTGCATAGCTCCTTCTAACACTATGAAAGCCAGTGAGTAGAGATGAGGCTTTGAAGTCAGCACCAGCTTGATTTCCCCTTGTTTGTTCTATAGTCTGTGTATGTAGTGTCTTCAACAATAGAGTCTTACTATGAATTTCTGGTGAGTAACCAAGAGCAGGGGTAATAGTCAATGTTTTTGATGCTTTATAGGATGCCTGATCAACAGCTTCAAAAAAGGGAGTCCACTCTGGCATTTGGCTTTTATTTTGCAAGGCTATGATGTCTAGTAGGGGCAATGTACCCCTGTTACAAGGTAACTCAATTAAATATCTTTTTATAATGTATTAGTATATACTTGAAGAGTCTAGAGGGGTAGGTATAAGAACCTCTAAGAACATTCAGTGTTAGTTATCCATCCCTATACTCCTTCCTCTGCCCTACCCTCCCATTCCCCATCCTGTTTAGTCCTTCCTACTCTATTATTCCCCTTTCCCCCTTTAAAACTCTGTATTCTACCTTCCCTTCCAGTAAGTTCCCTCCCACACATAGACAATTACTGATTTTTTTTCATCTTTTTGTGATAATTATTTATTTTTTATTGAATTTTTGCATCTCTCCTTATTGCCCACCGCCCAATTTAATGTACTCTATCATATACATATGGCCTATTGAGTCTAATTTGTGTCCCCAAATGTCATTCAGTGTGGGGCTATCCATAGGAGGCTTTTTAACCTATTAAGAGCCCCATACTTGAAAGAGACTGTCTCTGTCTTTCTTAGCAGCCACGATTTTCCTAGGTTGTGTTGGGATTTCTTATCCATTTCCTTATGTCTCTGCTGGGATTTTGTCTGGTTTGATATTTTGTGGGACTTGTGTATGCTGCCACCCTTGCTGTGAATTCATTTAAGCTCTGTTTACTTGCGTTCATCCACAATATTAAGCCTACCAATCTATGAGCATGGGAGGTCTTTCCATCTTATGGTTTCTTTTAAAATTTCTTTTTCTAATACCTTAAAATTTTTATTATATAAGTCTTTCAATTTGTTAGGTTTATTCCAAGATATTTCATGTTTTTTTAGGCTATCATGATTTCTTTCTCAATTTGCTTATTGTTAGTATAGAGGAAGACTACTCTTCAAGTTATGTTTTACTTCCAAATATTATATCTAATCTCTGTTTTATACATCAGTGGTGCCATAATTCAGGTGGAATGCAGATTCTACTTTGTAGTACATACTTTGATATGTTCACTTTTGCTAACATATGGTTATGCATATGGATAGGTCTAAAATCAACTAACTTGAAGGAAAGAATAAATAACAGCATTCATTGACAGAAAAACCAACTCAGGACCATGAAAATGGAGAACCAATTAGCTTATGCTAGACAGACGTTTACAGAAAAGCTTTGCTTTGACAGCTACTAGACATGCCTTGGGGACTGAAATAACACCCACTACTGTTAGGCCCCTCAAACCTGTCCTGGATGTCCCCCATCCACTCACCCTTAATTTACTTCAGAGCTTTCTAGGCAATATTAATTGGCTAAGGCCCTGGCTTTCCATCCCCACAAGTCAATTACAGCCACTTCTTTGTTTTCTATAGACTTGAAGAAGAATTATTCTGTTTGAACTGAAGGAATGTATAGGTAGGAAGTTGGAAGAGATACAGACATATTTTCTCCCCCTCATTCCACAAGAATTCCCTTTTAAAAAGCGATGGAAGACTAAAATTTTTGGAGTAAGAAACAATGTTTTAGATTTTTTTTAACTGAGCTTTTGTACATTTCATACACAGTTCATAATAAAATTTACAAGTTATGCCACTTGATATTTTGTATTACTGACCTGGAATGAAGCCCTTTATGCCCTAGCTTCAGGCCTGTCTCATATGCTATTTCTAAGAAGACTGCAGATTCTGATGTCTTAGAGATTTAAAGCAACCCACTGGCTCCTCTCATCTTAATTCAGTGAATGTGAATAAACTGTTAAGCAAAGACTTTTTCAGCAGCCTAGGGCAAGTTAAACCAGACCAAAAGACCATTATAAGTCACAAGGTTTTCATTATTGCGTTACTAATGCAGCCTTGCACACTCAATCCATAATTTCATATATCTATCATGAACTGATAGATTTATAAATTTTTGTCCTTGTATGATATGATCTAAGGGTCATTTTGATGTTCCACAAATTCTCCAAAAGATGTTGATTTGACTTCTAAAAGGATAAATAATGTTCTTTGTCAAGACTATACCTAGCCTTTCAGTGTGTCAAAAAGTTGATATATTCAGATTCAAATGTATTCACTAACTAATTTAAAACATGGTTGTATTATGTAATAGTTACAATAACTTTTCTTTCTTTTATGTCTGCATTTTTTACTATCAGGAAAAGAAGAACATGAAAAGGGAAAATCAAAGCAGTGTGTCTAAGTTTATCCTTCTGGGGCTCCCTATTCAGCCAGAGTACCAAGGCATGTACTATGCCCTGTTCCTGGCCATGTACCTGACCACGATGCTGGGGAACCTGCTCATCATCCTGCTCATCAGGCTGGACTCTCGCCTCCACACCCCCATGTATTTCTTTCTCAGCCACTTGGCTTTCACAGACATCTCTTTCTCATCTGTCACAACTCCAAAAATGCTCATGAATATGCTGACACAGAGCCACTCCATCTCATATACTGGGTGTGTTTCCCAGGTATATTTTTTCTTATTGTTTGGGGGTATTGACTGCTTCCTTCTAACTGCAATGGCCTATGACAGGTATGTGGCCATCTGTCATCCCCTGTACTATAACACCATCATGAGTCAGAGCCTCTGTTTTCTACTGGTAATTATGTCCTGGGCCTTGTCCTCTACCAATGCCCTTGTGCACACCCTTCTCTTTGCTCGTCTCTCTCTGTTTAGAGATAACACTCTCTACCACTTCTTCTGTGACCTCTCTACCTTACTTAAGCTGTCCATCTCAGACACCACTATCAATGATCTTTTTGTCCTCATTTTGGAATCACTAGTCATTGCAGTCCCATTCATGTGTGTTCTGGTCTCCTATGGCCACATTGGGGCCACAAGCCTGAGAACTCTCTCCATTAATGGAATCTGCAAAGCCTTGTCCACATGTGGCTCTCACCTCTCAGTGGTTTCTCTATACTATGGAGCCATTATTGGGTTATACTTCATCCCCTCCTCCAATAACACTAATGACAAAGATGTCATTGTGGCTGTGTTGTACACTGTGGTCACACCCATGCTGAATCCCTTTATCTACAGTCTGAGGAACCGAGATATGAAAGGAGCTCTGAGAAATACCCTCCAGTGTTTCCCAGACATAACAAGGCAGTTGCATATGTGAATGACAGTGGTTATGACTGCGTGCACAAGATTTATACAAGATCAAGACAAAATCCTAGCATGGAGGGGGAGAGTAATTAGGAAAGCCCATCTGTAGCTGAGGAGCTTTTGGCAACTAATAACTTCTGGGAGAGAGAGAAGCAGTTTTCTTTAGGATTGTGGCCCCTTAGATGCTATCCATACTCATTAAATGGCCCTATATCCATGTCTATACTGGCAACACTAAGTGGATGCCGTGGGTATAAAGAAATAAAAGAGAACTAGTGAAATAGGGAATAAATAGTGGTGGTGGGGATAAGGGAGAAATTGAGGGGGAGGGGATTGGAGTGCACTTGATCAAAACACATTACATGTATATATGAAATTCTCATTCAGTAAAATAGAAATACCCTCCATAGCAGAGTATTTTTAGAGTGAAAGCATGGTCTTCCCTCTTAACTGTATATGGGAAATTCCCAATCAATTTTGCATACAACTCTTTTTCTATGAACTGCTGTTTCCACTGAAACTTTAGGTTATACTGTTTTTACCATATACACCCAGCCACAGTTTCTTTCTCTAATCGTCTTGCTCATCTTGGGATAAGGTTTTGGTAAATACAACCACAAAATTTTCCTTTTCACATACTGAAACTTTGGAAATATTATATATCTATATATATGGATTTATTACATTAACTTACAGGATAGAGTCTGAGTAGTTCAACAATGGCTGTGTCAAATTGGAAAGGCTGAGAGTCCAGTAGTTGCTCAGTCCGGGAGACTGGATAGCTCAGCAGTCTCAATCTGGCACTGAAGACTGAATCATAAAAAAATTTAGACCATATCAACCATTCACATTTTATCATTAAATAATTTTATGACCTTTTATGTGAGAGATCTTTTTTCCTTCCTTAAGAAAACAGAAATGTTTGTTCTGGTAGAAATGTTTTTTAATTTTTCCATTATTTTTATAATGTACTTTGAATTCATTTTGTGAGTAACAGCAATTTGAAATCTACTTTGTTTTAAGAGTGTATTTTTTTAATTAGGACAAAAATTCACACATCTGGTCAGGCATAGAGAACATACACCTGGGAGATGCCCTGTACTAGGTGACACATCTGCAATGGAATCTCTACAACCAAGGCTCATGGAACATAGCGGAATAAGAGGTAAAGAGGGGGCTAGTGCACCCCTCAACTCTCACCAGTGAGGCTTCCATGCACATCAGAGTGAAATATACACAGAAGGCCTCAACTGGCTAAGTTTTGAAGAATAATAGACTATAGAGTGTAGGATGGGACACCTATATGGAATCTCACCCACCCACAGCTGAGGAATCACTGCAGAAGAGGAGGTGGAAAGATTGTAAAAGCCAGGGCTGGTTCATGAATATAAGGAGGTGGAGGCTTCCAGGCCACTGGAGGCTTGCTCATGTGAGCCTGCAGCATCAGTGGCATCCAATGCAGGACCCATGTCAGCTCAATTAAACAAAGGCCCACATGGGAGGTGAGAAATAGGAGGTGGGCCAGCACTAGATTGAAAGCTATTTCAGACTGATTGCTGCTGATTGATGGAGAGTATGACTTACATATGAGCTGACTTCCACATTAGTGAACAAGACTGCACCCAGAGACATGGATTATTAAATTAACAATCTCAGTGCCGGTAATGGGCTAGCTCCTTAGGAATTATTGGTTGGTGACACATTAGGGACAGCCAAAACTGAATAGGCAATTTCCATTGCTCTTGGTTGCCCACCATAACTAGATGGCACAACCCTATTTCTGAAGACCCCTCATGCTTTGGTTGCAGGGTATGAAGAAATCAGACTTGAACTGACTCTGCTGGCTAGCTTTCATAGTGCTAGAATGTGCGGTGCAGGCTGCTGACAGAGAAAGGTTATCAGTGGTCTTACCCAGCACTGGACCCTGCATGCTACAATGCTGACCTGCCAAGCAAGATGTGCCCACTGATGGAAAATTGTCAAGGCTGTCTATGGGGCTAACCAGTTGCTCCCTTTGTTGGACTTAAACCCTGCTCCATGGGAAAGAATTCATATCTGACACTGTAATTATGATTAAAACCCATGGCTAGGGAAGTCATAGTCCCCAGGGGCGAACCTGTTAAATTTTTTGAACTGGGCCTGTTGTCAAACTCCCTTCTAAATAAATAAGTTTATATCCATAGATTTGTGCTGTTTCCAATCTAAGTTGGAGAAGCTCCTATTACAGAGGGCACTGGTTAATGCAAAGATTCATAACTGTTTACAGTTCTAAGAATATGTGAGTACAAATGCTCAGTTGTAGATGGAATATTCATTTCAATCCCCTGACCAAGGTTCAGGAGATATTGAGAAAGAAGGAGGCAGAGAGACTATAAGATCCAGAAGATGGGGGTGGAATCATATAAAATGCTGGCCTCTGGACATGATGTGGCTGTTGCACACATAAACTAACACAGCTTTGGTTGTCTGGATAAGATCAGTAAATGATCCCATGATTACACATATGTAGCAGCATAACTGGATTCAGAGTTTAATATAAATCTAAAAATTACTCCGGGAGGACATGAATTTGGGAGGGAGATGTGATGGGGATACTGAAGGGAGCTGGAGAAGGGAGTGAGGGGTGGATATGATAAAGTTACATTGTATAAATGTGCAGAGTTTTCAAAGAATAAATAAAACATAAAAAATCGTAATGAAAAAAGTAACACGTATTTTCAAGATATCATGCTATATCTTCAACCATGTGTATATTCAGTGATATTAAAGTGAAGATAATCATAAATATTTCCTCCAATACTCACCATTCTTTGTAGTGGAAACATTAACAATATGATTTTTGCATCTTTGAAATAGGGAATATATAATTATTATCTATAGTCCATTTGCTGTCTAATAAACTTACAGCTGGAGAAAGCTGTCTTCAATTCTCTCAGATTTTTGACATTTCTTAGTGTACATTTTTTAGTTGTTTATAATTTTTTAATATTTTTTTAAATTTTAGACTATTTTTATTATTCTAAAGAGAAGCAATTTTTAACACATATTTCCAAAAATAACTTGAAGCAAGTTACCTTAAAATATATAGAAAATGACCCACAGTTTCCTGGAGCCAGCAGCTTGCCTGGGTAAGTTTGACTGCTGTGCCCACTGCGCCTGGACTCCCCCGGCCTCATTAACCCGAACATCTCCCCCTCCCCATCTCTCCTCCTAGCAGGCAGACTGGCACATTTCCTGTCTTGGCATCCCAGACCTCTGGATTGACCTCTTGACCCAAACTCTCCACTGTTTCCTGATCCTTTGCCTCCAGACCAACACAATTCCTCTCTAGTCCCCACCTCCCTTTGCACCTCTGGCGGCTCAGACCCACAGCTTCCTGGAGATAGCAGGTTTGCCTGGGTAAGTTTGGCTGCTGTGCCCACTGTGCCTTGACTCCCCCAGCCTCATTCACCCCCACAGCTTCCCCACCTCATATATTCTTCTAGCAGGGGTACTGGCCCATCTCTGGTTGTGCAACCCCAGAAATGTGGACTGACATCGTAGGCCACAATCGCCAGTGCTTCCTGATCCTTTGCATCCAGACGAACCCAATTCCACCCTGTAGTCCCCAGGAGCCCTCTGGCCTCTTCTTGCCACAACCTCCCTTTGCATCCCTGGGGGCAGCATCTTTCCTGGGCCCTGCTCCCAGGCCAGCCCAGCCCTCAAATTCCTGAGGCCACTATCTTTCCTGGAGGGATCAGGACCTTAGGAGAAAGCCTGAGAGCATCTGATCCTCATCCGATTTGCGCTTCTGTGGGAACTCCTGAGCAGCAAGACAAATGCAATTTGGCCACTCCAATATAATTTGAAAATTGCCCTATTCTGACTTTTTTCTAGTTCCCTGTCTAGACTTGTAATGCTAATTATTCTTGCCTTTACTTCTCCTTCACATCCCCTATTCATGATTCAAGGGCTTTCTTTTCCCCTTAGAGACAAGAGTAATGCAATTTGGGAGTCTTTTAGGTAGACTCACTGAAGGGGTACTCCAATTGTGTCACCCTAGGTCCCTCCCTGTTCAGCATGGAAGAAGCCAGAACAGTCTGGATTCCCTATTGGCAATTTGGGTAACTCTTTCAGAGGATGGTGTGATAAGATTAAGAGGTAGGAATTGGCTAGGCAGTTAGAGTAAAAAGACCCCAAAGAAATGTAGCCAGTGTCTTGGCTAAAAGTCAAAATGTCCTTGGGCTTGCTAACAACATACTCTGTTCCAAAGGCCTAGAATGTCAAAAGTATTTGGGAGCTTGTATCTAATCCTTAAAAGATTTTAGGGTTACCTCTTCAGAGGGGAGAAAGTTGGAGGGGAGGGAGTGGGTATGGATTTGATCAAAACATCTTATATGCATGTATGAACTTTTCAATAAAGCTTTTGTAAAAGTTAAAAAAAATCAAAAAAGAGAACATGAAGCCTAGACCAACCAGCTTTTCACGACCAACAAGTAAACCACAAAGGCACATAAAGTTTACAAAAAGAAGCAGATCTAAACTCAACAAAGGAAGGTTTGAGTCTCACATAAGAACCAGAATCTACAAAAGAAATCCACATGTCAAAGTCACAGAGAAAAAATAACAACATGAAAAACCAAGATAATATATCCCCATCAAGTACCAATAGTTCTCTAGAGGACTACAATGAGAACATCCTAGAGATAACATGGGACTTGGTACTCAACAGAACAATTATAAACATGATAAAAGAATTCAGTGAATTTAAAGAACACACAACACAAAGAAATCAAAGAACTGAAAGAAGATAGGGATAAACTTCTGAATGAATTCAGAAAAAGAGTTAGAAATATTGAAGAATGCTCAGGCTTAATTGCAGAACAAAGTAAAACACTCAGTAGGCCAATTAGAAACAACAGGAGAAAGCCTCATCAATAGGATGAATGAAATGGAAAATAGAATATCAAGACTAGAAGATAAAGTGGACTAATTAAACCACTCAAGCAAAGATTATGAGAAATTTAAGAAAAC